TCTTGGCAACGCCATTTTCGTCGATTGCAAGCGACAGAGATGCTCGCTTAGCATTGCGGCTGCTGGTGAGAGTCCGCGAGATGGGGTCCGCGTTCGGCTTTAGGGGAGACGAGCGCCCTGACCGGTGTCTATTGGGTTCAAAGGATATGGGAGAATTGCGTCCTTCGCGGTTGCCCTGGGTCTGGAGTTTCAGACCGCGATCGTTCCGCACTCCAGTATGTGTCAGGCTCCGCTTGAGGCCCGGTCTGCTGTCCTTTTTCGGTGTGATGGGTCGTCGTAGGGCTTCCATAACCGACCGAGTAATGGACGGCTTTTTCACCTCCGCTCGCCTCATGCGTTTCATTTCTTCCTCCCGCTTGGATTCTTCGATCTGATGCGCGTAAGCCGGCCGCTCAGGAGCAGTGTTCTGCGCGAAGCGACTTGGAAGCTGGTCAAAGCTGCCGAACCGCCGTGCTGGTGAGCTTAGAAACATGCTTGGGTTCTCCATTTGCGGTTGAAAGACGCGGGGCGAAGTCGTGAATGGGGCGGGAAAGGCAGAACTGTCGACATTGGAATAACTGGCGGACCGGGGTAGGCTAGGCAAGTCATAAGGCTGCTCTTCGGACAACGGATCTTGTGCAACAAGACTGGGTACCACTGTAGACGAAGAGGCAAAAGAGCTACTCAGTGCCACTGGACTGTAGGCGAATGAACCATGGTACTGCTGGGATATAGAAGGATCATTGTAGTCGACGCTGGAGGGGTCCCAAAAGAGCCTTTGACTTGTGAATATTGGAGCCGTGACCGGCCCTACGGAGAACTGGTGAGCATACATGTCTGGAGAGAGTTGCAATGTTGGATAAAGGCCTGGAGATTGCTGCTGCATATATCTGCTCGGTGTTTCTGGGGGTCCCATCGAGGGCCTTTGGTTTGAAGACATGATGAAGGAAGTCGGATATTTAGCGTTTATGCCACCGCAATTGGTGGTACTCTGCAACCGAAAGTGAGAACCCCTTCTAAACTCAAAGTCTCTTCAGAGCTTCAGCGATGTATGTCGAGGTTCAACGATATAGAGAGCCCCGTCGCTGTAATTGCTGGCGGGGGTACGGGTCTCAGCCTCAAGGCTCGAGGTGCCCTATCACAATGTCCAGATCGACTGGCTTTGCCCGTGTCTTGTGTGTCTGGTAACCTCCTCTTGTCCAACCTCAGAAGAAAGTCCTGTGATGACCGGCTCGGAATATTCGTCTTCGGTGTGGGACCCGGATAAGATCCGCCGATCATGGAAGTCTGTGAACTGGCGAGAGGATATCTCAAGCAACGGTTAGCTTGATCCGAAAGATAGACAGGACAGCAATCTTCTCACACAACCCCTTCCCTTACAGATTGATCAAAGATCCACTGAGATCATCCTTCTCAATAGGGATAGTGGCAGCAATGGAAATATCACCTGCGCTCAGCACAAGTCTTCCCCCCAGGTTTCGGATTTTCTGAAAGGCCCAAGAACCGTAATCAATTTTAAGTTGGTCTCCTGCGCCGTATGTGCCTTTGGAGGTAAAGTTAGGTGGGAGGGCCACAAAAGAATTTGGAGAGAGTTGGTCCGTCTGTCAGAGAGGAATGCTGCACAAGAATGTTGTCGAGGAAGAACCGACAATGCTCTCAATCAGGGTTGCATGTTGAAAGAAGGTCGTTTCCGGCAGACAACTTCTATCCTCTTGAGGCATCGGGAGTCATCTGTAAGGCCTGGGACGTCGAGGGCATGATTGGACAGGCAGAGACGCAGACGGGAAGTTCGAACGAAAGCAGGCAAGGTTAAGCAAAAAATGGAATTGAACCTGAAGTGGGATGGGTGGATTGTGGATAGAAATTCTGACAGGGACCAGGTTTGGAGAGCCCCAAAGCCAGGCTCCCGGATGACAGAGGCAGTCAATTGACACATGGACAGAGACATGGCATTGGACAATGTCATGGTGGAGGTTCGCTTCTCGCCATTGTTCGCCATACGAGGCAGAAGCGGGCTGCTTGGGCCGATAGGAGGATATTTTTTTTGGCGTCAAGCCTTCTACGAGTAGGTTGAGGGGAGCCTGCTTGGTATGAGGAGTTAGGGATTCAGGTACGATGTGTGGTGCGCGAGCAGGGCGAGAGAATGATAATCATTGGCACGCGAGCCCCGGGATGCGAGATAATGGGGCCCGGAGAAACCAGATAGCGTTGGTACTTGGTACTGTACTTGTACCGAGTATTAGTTCATAAGTACCTCCATGGACCCTAAGACGGGTCCCCTGTACGGGTCCCCTGTGGATGTCTTGTAGGGCCAAGCATCGTCATCGTCAGGCACTCAGGCACCCGGGAACTCTCAGGCACCCCCGCAAGCCCGACACTTAGGTACATGCCCCTACCTAGGTACTGTAGTGGCACTCTTAGCTAGGCGTTCGATGCGTTGGCCCCTGGCTAAAGATGCAACCTTCTCTTCCCACCCGCCCTGTGTGCCCTGGATAGCTATCGCTAAATTTCTCCCCAACTTTTTTCATCCTCCACTATGTGGCTTCATTCCAATTTCCACGGCTGGCGAAATGGTGGGGTTCCTCATTGTCGATCTATGGTGTTCGATCGATTTGCCCTGGTATCGATGATGGTGTGAGGGCTATCAAGCATGATTCTTGGAAACATCATCCGCGGGCGGATGGTGACATTCCTACCTGCGTACTCATCAGTTATACAACTGGACCATTTGTCAGGGTCGACGACGATGAAGCAATATTCGGTGCTCGTGGTCTGATCAGAGTATCAGAACATAAGTGGCCAGTCATCAATTTCCCAACCCGTTGACAACTTCACATGTGAAGAGGATGTTCCAGCCGCGGGAAACCCATTCTCTGAGGAGCTGTGAACACCTCCTCCGTCTTCGCTAACCTTACGTGCAGTGTGCATACCCGAGGCGTCCCGCTACTTCGTCCTGTTCGCCGAAACCCCTGACGATTAAGCTGGTCTTTGGCTTTCTCTTCAGCTCTGACTTTGGTTCTTTCTTGTTTCGGTTAACGTTACACCCTCAACCCTCCTCGGCAGGTCTCAAACTTCGACATTGCCCCTCCAGGTCCTTGGTTTTTAGTCAGGACTGTTCCTTGCTCACGAAATTTGAGAGTTCTCAAGCTTCGCTAGAGCAGACTCATCCCTGCTGCCCACGCTGTGTGGCGTTGCGAGGTTTTCAGCTGCTTCCCCAGACTTCACAAGAAAGGGGCTGTGAACCCCTCGCACCGCCGAGGCGATTACATGGATGGGGTTTGAACGCCATCATGAGGTTGCTGAGGCCCAACAAATGATGATGGTCCGTAACTGGAGCGAGATTCCTCATGCTTGCGCTATCTTAGGAGAAGAGAAGACGTGAACAATCACTTTGACCCCTCCTTTGTGCCGCGGGAGGACTCTTGAAACCAGTTCTCCTATCGAGCCCGTGGTGGGGTCCAAGATACGCAATATCCACGACGTACCGAGTACGGAGTGCCTAAGTACGTACAGAGTACTTGGTATGTACCAAGTCCCTAGTCCTTATAACCAGAAAACTGGGGACTGGCCGGATCATTGCCGGCCCCTTGTTCACTATCACGTCTGTCTTGGTCCCGATAGTAGGGCGGTACGTTGCCTTGATCTACGCTGCAGCTCTCCAGTGCTTGTTCCAGGTGTCAAAAGACTACACTTTGCGACGGCTTAACCTAAGGTACAGGTGGCGTGAAGGGTTGAGGTCACGACATCCCCCAGAGTGACTGTCATGTCAGTGGGTTCTCGCCCCGGGAAACTCCCATGGTCGTGTCGTGTCTGCGCTGGCGCAAGGGGCCGACGATGTCACTGAGTGCTGACAGGCCTTGTTAAGCCCTTTCGCAAGGCTGCCCAGCGACCATTACATTATGGTGCATGTTCGCTCCCACGGTCATCTGCCACGGCTTCTCACCGATTTTCGCTCTCCACAAGGGCTCTTGCCAAAGTCCCGGTTCGCTCGGTCCAACTCTTCTCTTGCGCTGGCATGAGGAAAAGCAGGTACCGATCCTTCTTCCCGATGCCAAAAGTCAGGACAGAAATGTCTTCCGAGACCATACATCTACACCGACGGTTCTTTCCGAGCCACTTTGTCATATTTCACCGTACGCCCTGACGATCAGTGAAGATGACTTGCGGGCCGTTCCAGGAAGGGCAGACTGGCAGAAGCATGCTGAACTGATATGCGGCTCCGCCGTCTGCAAACTATCAATCTGTCGGGTTGAAAAGACTCCTAGAGCCCTTCACAGAGCAGGAGAAGGTCTATTGAATACCCGCCTTTTGATGTTGGTATAATATTTGTGGACCTGGTACTGCAGGTTCTAGGATGCTGCATATGTTTCCAGGCCTACGAGCAATTACAAGTATGGGAGTAGTCCTTCCTGAGGTTTGTAAGTTGGTATAGACGGCGCTTATATCATAATAAGTCTTACTTGACAGACGTCTTCACTCAGGGGCGCTGTAGCTCAAAACCTTCAACCCCAGAACCTAATGTTTGAATTTGGCGGTGGGGTGAGGCTGGGAGGGAAATCCTTCAGCACTCGATCTATATATCCGCCGAAGAGTCGGAAATCAACAGATTATGGTGCAGTAAAAGATCAGCAAGGTGGGCTCGCAGCACATGGAAACTCGGACCCCTGCAATCACGGACATGGGAATCCGCGGTTGATCTTCCTTGTCCCCTTTACTTTACCATTGACCGACCTTCAAGTGAGAAAACTAATGGGAACTGACTTGGCAGCTTGGTTGACATGCGGGCGGATCAATAGCCGCAGAAATATGTCTAGAATAATAGGAGACTCTGCTACTGCGGAGCAACTGCTCGCAAAGACGCACCAGTTGAACGCAGTCTGCCCAGTCACCAAACATCCTGTGAAGCACGCGAGTTCGAGCTGGACAAAGCGTCACACTCACCCACCCACCACTATCGCATCCCGACCTCTTCGCGGCCCAACTGTTGCTGAATACTCCCCCACAAAAAAGCGCGCTGATCAATGTCTACAGCCCTCAAAACCGTCCCGGTCTACTTGCTCGCGTCCGTCGTCCTCCTTGGCGCCTTTTCCCGTCTCACCCATGGCGCGTACACGCCCATATGGTACGCCTTCCAGGAATACCACTTGCCAGACGACGGCTCTACGGCCGCGACGGTGACGCCCGTCATCGACACTCTCGTCGGGTTCAGTCTCCTGTTCGGGGGGCGCGCCGTGAAACTCCTCGCCGCGTCGCTCAGCCTGTTGTTCTTCACGGCAGGGCTGGCAATGCAGGTCCACGCCGGGAAACAGTACAAAGGCGACGTGGCGCTGGCTGTGCTGGCTGTGGCTGCTGTTGCAAGGTTGCTTTCGAGATGAGAACAGAGAGGAGGGGGGAAAGGGATGATGTAGGTTTGCAAAGGCTCTGACTTTCTTGCTGTTGGTGCGGATGAGATGAGATTGGAAGCAAGGCTTTCGCTTGGTACCGTAAGGGAATGAGGAGGAGGAGGTGCTGGAGTCACCTGCATTATCATGGACATCCACGAGTCTCCCTCTTCCCCTGGCTAGACATGATATGTTGAGGAGGCCCACACTTTGTCCACGATGGACTGACATCAATGAGATACCATCAGCACACGCGGATCAGGAAATACTCGCGTGTGTATAACGTGACCTGCGAGTGCTATTGATGTCCTCAACATGCTACAATACATCCATTCGTTTTACCCTTCTACCGTGGCTGCAAAGGGTGCGCGCCTTTTCTCCAAGATTCTTCTAGTGCCAGCCAGATCTATCTCAAGCAAACCACGCAATCGGCTTCTATCAATCCTCGTCCTCATTTTCGTCCTCCTCATCCTCATCAATAGGTTCCACGAGCAGGTTTGCGCCCTTTCCCACCCTTGTGCCTATCGAACCTCCCCTTTCCAAATCATACACTATTCTGGGCATGGGCGACACCAGTCGAAACTTGTAATCATGCTCATATCCCTCTGGCTTCTCTGCATCTTCCTCCTCTTCCTCTTCCTCCCTTTGTTTTTCCGAATGTTTGGATTTGATGACCTCGTAACATTCCACGAAGGCATACAGTTCTTCTATCTCGGCATCTGTTTGAAATCTTCGGATGACTCGTTCGCCAGAAGGCAAGCGGATACTCACTCGAATGGCATCTTTGATCTCTGTGTCCAGTTCTTCCGGAAGTGAACGAGCACGCCATCTCTTCCACTGCTCCCTGTCTCTCTTCTTCTTTTCTGCCAGCCTTGCCTGTTCTTGGGCTTCTAATTCTGCTCTTCTTGCCGCTTCCTCCTCTTCCCGTCGCCGACGAGCCCTCTCACGATCTTGCGCCAATGATCTCTCGTAAGCCGAGTCCTGCTCCCTACGTAGATTCTGAGTGGCCTGGCGTTCTGCCTGCTGAGCTCTCGCTGCAGTAAGTTGCGTCTGGTGGGTCGTCATTGCCGTGGCCAACTTTGCAACCAATTCCGGTGCTGATATTGGTCCAACAGCACGCATGACAACTGTCATCGCTCCGGATGGTGCACCCGATCCTGGCTCCGAACCCTGGCATATGAGTGCCGCAAACGGGAACTTGGTACACTGAAGACTCGCAGATACTTGGTAGGCTTCCGAATCTCGTACATCTCCACCCCAAAGTATCAAGTCAGACCGGTGAGAGTCGAGGAATGATTTAAACTGTTGGGACAGTAGGGTCTCTCGGACCCAGGTATTATTGTCATCATGGCTGCGCGAGAGAAGGACCACAAGCATGAATTTGAGGTCCTTTTTGGCGGTGTCGAGGGCTAAGTTGAACCCGGATTCGGTGAATGGGAGAAGCGGCGCAGATGATTCTCGATCCTGACTCTCGGTGCCGTATTCTTCACTGAACTCTCGTATGAATCTCCTTGCATTTTCAGCTGGTGGTAGAGCCCGCCTCTGGGTGCGTGATTGCGACTGGGATTGGTAGAGAAGGCGATGAAAGAGGCGGGAGAGAAACGTGGGAACGAGGAATCCAAATGGCGACAACACGGTTGTAAATACTCTGTACAGGATATTCACGGGAGTAAATATGATGGAGAACAATGTCGAAGGACGATATACGGGTTCGTTGACTGTGCCGCTCGTGTCGACTCGTGTAACTATGTCCCCGGGGCTTGCCCGGAGAGGTCTGGGAGAGGTTTGTGATGCTGCTAGAAGCGACTCATACTGCAAATTTGTAGTTTGGCGGGCAGAGGCAGGAGGCAGTTGTGCTTGTGCTTCGGCGAGAGGGTCGCTTGCAGGTTCACCATCAAAGAAGCGGGCCACAGCAATTTGTACGTTCCATTCGCATCGTCGTAGGAGCGGGATCGCGGCGATGGGGTCTTGATCGGTAACGGAGGTGTAGGTTTGGAGAGCTTCTTGTTGGGACGCAGTTAGTTGGGAGATGTCGGGGGTCGACATCTTTCGAATCGAGACCGAGAGGCAGGGATATAATCGAGGGGGTTATCGCTTCGATCGAATAGACATGGTCAACTATGCTTCTTTCCCTTCTCTTCAAGCCTTAGCTTCACCTATGGAGCCCTGCCTAGGGTGAGTTGCGGGGGCCCACTATATTCAAACCACGCCAGTTGTATAGAGGTGTTGTGTGTAGGGAAGGCTAGATCGTACCGGCCGATGACTAGAAGCTCTTGTGCTGATGGCTGCGTTTGTGTGGTATAGGGAACGTGTCCACGCGAAGCCGCGGAGTGGAAAGGCGGATGGATGTATGTAATCCGCTGGTTGGACCTTGGACCCTTGTGTTGCCTCGACAATCCCGCCGACCACCTCCATCTCCCACCTCGTATCACTTACTCTTCGCGAGACTTGACTCGACAAACCGCATTCCATACAGAGCGCGGCTGCGCTCAGAATCCTGGTCATATTTTTCCTGGTTCACTGCATTTTCTGGCTGGCGACTACGCTATTATCGTCGTTTCATCGCTACTATTTCTTAATTTTGGATATCTCAGTCGTCATGTACATTACCCTCGCTCACACCTCAACAGTCACAGGACCAGCCCCGGACATCTAGCCTGCGCACAGACTCGAAACTGTGTCTCTCTCCAAGCTCGGCTCTGGCGAACCCAGGAAATGCCTTGATCCTTACCGAAAACTCCAAGCCTGCCCTCCCAAAGACTGATGGAGCAGCATGCTCAGGCGCAGTCAATAAACGATTATGGCCACAGTGATCAAAAATAATGCGGAAGATACAAAACAGGCAGCTTCGTCCCCTAGACTCAAAGGCCGGGGTATGTTGGATGCTACTTTGAGGCTCGTTGAGAGGAAGATATAGAGCGCTGAGCTGTATCTGGACAGAAAATGCGAAAGACACTCTATGTCGCAATGTCACGATATACGGGAAGTGCCGCTACGAGGACAAAGGTACACTGGGAATAGCAGGTGTTGCACATAAGACTAACTTGCTGCTGCAGGATGTGCCTTCAACCACACCGTAGAAAAGCCTGCCTCTGAGGGAGGACAAAATGATAGGTACGACTCAACGGTCTTGCCCTGCCTAAGATGAGGCACTGTTTTGCTGAGACGGAGGAAATAGTCAGTCGAAAAAGACGCTCAACGTCGACTCGCCGAGTTTCACGCCCTCTTTCTTGTCTCCCAATGGCACCGCAGCTGCAGCCACTGCTATCAAGAAGCCAACGACTGGCATATCTCCGAAGGCAGCAAGTGCTGCCCCGTTCATGCCCAAGGCCATCATCTCCCGTGAGCAGATGTCTAGTGTCTCGGACTCAGACGACGCCGGTGGCTTACAACTTATGCCAGGATCGTCGAACGCTACTCCTCTTCGACAAGATGCCAAAACCCCAGATTGGGCGCTGCCTGACGTCCAAGAATTTGTGCCCCGACGAACTCAAGACCCGTCTCTAGTGAGTTCTCTCAGAGCATAGGTGCTTCCGTCCGATGCTTATAGGTACTGTCTAGACCAGTGAAGGCGAGATTCCTGTCTCTCATGCTTTTGAGACGTTTCAAACGAGCCATACCCCGAACCCATATCTCGATCACAGTATAAATGGAACCGCTTTTTATCAGAACGCACCTGGTTTTCAGCAGCCGGTACGCATCTCAAACAGAGGCTGTGATGATGATGCTAATCACCTGCTAGGTACAATACCACCAATATGCGCCTATTGGCCACTACAACGCGGCCCTCACTCCCTACCAGCGCACAGTGCATGACCTTTTCATCCCCAACGATCTCCGAGAGGAAATTCAGAAGAAGTCAGCGGCAGCCCTCCAGATATTACCCAGTATGCGTCGCTGGTTCATAAGACAGGGTGGTGCGGTGCTGATTTTGCGCTCCAGATTCGCAGCTACCAAGTCACATCGAGAGTTATCACTCTCTTGTCCCTCTTGATACAGCCCACAAAAGTTCAAACATATTTGGAGGTTATACATCTTGGGTGTATAAAGCGCAATCAAGCGCCAATGGGCACTTTTTCGCCCTCCGCAGAATTGAAGGTATGATCTTGAACTATACCACTCCATCGACCTCGTTGCAGTCTTCAGAAGCTCACGCTTTCACATGCAGGCTTCCGCTTAACAAACGAGCACGCAATCCGCGCTGGACAAGCTTGGAAAAATATAATCAGCGCTAACATTGTCCGAATTGTCGACGTCTTTACAAACCGCGGCTTCGGCGACTCATCCCTCTTTATCGCCACAGAATATCATCCTCTGTCCAAAACCCTTTTGGAACACCATCACCTTGGACATTCATACAATCCTCGTCCCGCTCGTTCTAACAAAGACCAAGCCACGGAGCCTGCCTTGTGGTCTTACGTCGTGCAAATAGCTTCTGCTCTGAAAACCATCCACAACTCTGGCTTAGCCGCTCGAATCCTCGACCCCAGCAAAATCCTTGTAACAGGAAAGAATCGCATCCGTCTGAACGGCTGCGGCATTCTGGATGTGGTGCAGTATGACGCCAATACCCACACACCTCTCGCTCAGGTCCAACGACAGGATCTCGTCAATTTTGCCCTGGTTGTCCTTGCCGTTGGCTCAGGATCCCTGGATGTGGGTCAGAATTTTGCTCGCAGCATGGACACTTTCAAACGTTATTACAAGCCCGAGCTTCAAAACGCCGTGGTGTGGTTATACTCTGCAATGCAGAACTCGGAGAAAACCATAGACGGATTCGTCACTCTTATCGCAAACCAAATGATCACCGCTTTCAATGCGGCCCTTCACAGCGACGATACTCTATATTCTGAATTGTCGCGCGAGGTGGAGAATGCGCGCCTGGTGCGCCTTATGGCCAAAATCAACTTCATCACTGAACGCCCCGAATACAATCATGACCAGTCGTGGAGCGAGAATGGGGAACGCTATTTCCTCAAGTTGTTCCGTGACTA